AGTTTCCACTTCCTCATTACATCTATAACAGATAGTTGACCCTCCCAACATCCTGCTCCTCTTGTCAGCTGTTAGCAGTATGTTCTGAGCTGTAATCCACATAAATTCTTGAATTCTTTTTGGCCCCTTCCATTTCCATAAACTCTTCCAAAACCCATCCTTATTCCTCTCCTCATTTTTTAACATTTTGTACATATCAGCCACCCTATAATCTTTTTCCATAGATGTCCCCCACTTAATGTTGTCTTCTCCAAATTCTTCTCTAGGCGACTTCCTTCCTCCGAGACCAGATTGTCTATTATCCTATAATTCCATTCCCTATCCTGTCCCACCATTTCCTTCACAAGACTGTTTAACTCACTTTCATTTAACTAAACCACTCATCTATCTCTCGGTCTACTTCCATCCTCCAACCATCTATCTTGCCAAAATCTTGCTTTGCAGCCATCACCAATCTCCCACCCTGAATTTTCAACTAGATATGGCCATACTCTTGCAAGATTTTTCCATACTTCAGAATCATTATTCCTTGCTATACACATTTTCCGCAAGTCTTCTCCCCATCCATACTTGCCATATAACACCTTCGAGCATAAACTCTCTGGTTTTGCAATCATATTCCATCCTATACGTCCCAGTAGGACATCTTTCATAGCTCCTATTTTCTTCAACCCATATCCTCCTCTCTCCTTGGAAGTGCATAGAGTCTTCCAACTCACTGCATTGAAACTTCTTTTCTCCTCCTCTTTGTTCTAGATAAATTCTCTTTGCAACTTCTCTAGCTAATTCTTCACTCTGTTAGGCACATGAGAATGCTGCATATGAAACACTACCATTTGGTTGGTGACAGATTCTACCAGTGTTAATCTTCCTGCTAACGACAGTGTTTGCCTCTTCCAATCACTTAATCTCTTCTGCATTTCGTTAACAAGAAATTGAAAAATTTCCTTTGAGCTTCTCCTTTTTGTAAAATGGCCCCCAAATACCTTCCTAAATCCTCTACCTTTTTGAATCCAGAAATATCACATATTTCTTTCTGCATTTCTCTGTTTGTATTTCTAGAAAAGTAAATACTTGTTCTCTGATTATTTACTTTTTGTCCTAAGATTTCACCAAATTTTTCCAACACTCCCATCACTGTACTTATCTGCTCCTTATTAGCTTCACAAAATAACAAGAAGTCATTTGCAAAAAGCAAGTGAGATACCTCAACTCCTCTTCACCCCATTTTCATAGACATCCGCTCCTTACAACTCACACAATTTGCTATTAAGTGATAAAGCTTTTCCATATCTAGAACAAATAAGTAAGGTGAGAGGGGATCTCCTTGTCTCAATTCCCTTGAAGGTTTAAACAACTCTCTTTTCCTTCCATTCCACAATATAGCCATACTGGTTGAATTTATACACTTCATAATAACCTTTATCACATGCTCTAATTCCAACTTCTCTTAACACCTTTTCTATAAATTCCCATGACATTCCATCATATAAAATTTTTTATTAACTCACTTTGCATTCAAGTGCTTATACTAAACAGACCATAAGATTCACTTTGTAGTTTAATTTTGCAGTATAAAGTAGATGTTCTATTTAGAAGTAAAGACAATGTAAGTTTAAGAAGATGATAAATATTAGTTTAGTTGATAAAACAATTTAGTCTGCAACCCACAAATAGTAGGAGAACTTTATTGATAAATGATTTAAAGTTTATTTATAAGTCCTCTCTAAAGACATACTACGAAGTTAACAAATTCTTAGCACCAAACTCATTTAAATTTGTTGTAATAAAAAGGAATATATGTAGGTATGTATATGTAATATACAGGAGTAATATTAAGCAAGTGGTTTTTTTTTGGGTGTTAATCCTAACATGTACGCTTGATTAATGTATAAGTTATATCACGATTTTAAAATATTGTTTAAGGTCTAAAAAACAATAACATGAAATTACTTGATATATTTATATGAAATAAAACTAGAAGTTTTCCACGAAGGACGAGGTGTCACGCATAGAGAATGTTCTCCTGTACAAGAGAAAACATGGCGCTCAAACATAAAGTGAGAAGTAAATAAAAATTAAAATTCTCCTCTATACTCGATTCTTATTTCTTTTTCCTGACATTTGAACCCTCTATACTTTGTTATTTTAATATCATTTAGGCTTATTTACTATTATAAAAATTATTTTAAAAAAATCAATAAATATGAGAAATAAATTAGATTTAAATCTTATATTTAAAACTAAATTAAATATCAAACTAATTTTTATATTAAAAAATATAAATAGAATATGAACATCTCGCTTTTGGAGGCGCCATGGCTTGGGAGCTTGGAGTGCCTTTTTTCGTCGGCCCTACATGGACGGACGTGCGGCCGCCAGAATTGGTTTCAGAGGGGCTGACTGGCCGGTAACCTTTATCAGTTGGGTCACGTGTTTTTAAATATCAATACCTACTTATTTAAACAATTGTTTATTTTTATTTCTATTTTTTGCACACAAACAATAATCGACACTTAAATCTGTCTTCAAAAAAAAAAAAATCGATTCCAAGAAAAGGGGGATTCTTGCTTAAAACTATTAAAATTTTAAAATTCATATAAATTATTTTTTAAAAAATAAAATTTAAAAAGTTACTTATATAAATGATATTTGGATAGAAACCAAACAATAATTTTAGAAGTGACTTTATGGTATATTTTTTAAATATATAAAAAATTTATTTTGATTTATGAAAAAATACTTTTAAAAAAACACTTCTAAAAATATCTAAACCCCTAATCTAAAATTAAATTTTATCCCTTATGACCAAAATATTAAAATTTGACCATACAGACTGGTGTTACACCTAGACATGCTACTAATACTATTTTCACAATTGTGAGTTGGACTGCTTGATTAATTTTGAAAATTTTCATCTAATATTTTCTAAAAGGCACAAATTAATTTGTATTATTAAAATTTAATTTTGTGTGAATGTTATATATTGAGGAGAGAATTCCCACCACAACTGCCCAGGTTCCCACCTTCCTTTCACGTTTCGGCGATTCACCCGTTATTCCTTTCAGCTATTCACCCCTCACCACCATCCCCATTTCAGCACGGCAATTCAGCGACATCGTCAACCACCGTCTTCTTCACTCGACGTCGACGACGCTAACTTCTCGCTCCTCTGCGCGACTGCGTTTTACCATTACGTGCCTTAGCCTTTTGTTCTTCTTCATTTGCGAGTTTGGAAATCCAGAGGTTCGATTGTCTTCTTCAGTCTTCATTTTGTGTTCTTCACTTACGCCTCTGCCTCTCCCAGTCTCCCACTGTCCCTGCTAGGTGCTCGACTGCTTGCTGTCAATTTCATTCTTCGTGATCCGTTGATTCGTGAGTTTGCTCCCTCTTTATACTAAAATTGTAGATTCAATTGCTGACTTACTGGTTTTTTTTCTTTTTTTCTGAAATTTCAATGTCAAACTCAGAATGTTTGAGCTTTGAAATTTCAATGTCAAACAATTGAAGTGTTTGAATGAAACTTTGGAGTGCAGGATTTATGAGTGGGTAGTTGCTGGAAAAGTATTTTTTTTTTTTTTAACATAAAACGGCTACATGCGGTTCCCGTAACCAGTGCAAGCCCACACGGGTTAACCCGGACCGTTTAAGAACGGAATAAATCGGACTCAGCAAATATGGTGTATGTACATAAGAGAGAATTTCACTTTTTCGAAAGGAAGTTATGGATCAGTAGCCTAGTGGGAAACTGGGAATTGTTACTTCCCTGTAAACAGGAACTTCTGGCTATTAGTGCTGTCCCTTTAATTAGGAAAGAAAAATAAAGAAGAGAAGTGATGGTCTTGCTTGTTGCTAAAATGGCTGATGCGTAGCTTACATAAACCGTTAATATAGCATGAAGGACAAAAGACATGTTAGTTGACTATGGCAACTCGTACGCGAGCCGTGACGACACCGTCGCTTCCTTCATAAACGTCTCTGCTTCTTGTCCCATGCCCATTCATAAAGGCGTGAGCCTCGTTGTGTCTCTGTTCCAGCGAGAGGCGTTGGTCCTGCAACCTGATCGATTCTCCATCGTTGTTTTGCATTCTGGTTTTTCTTTCTTTATTAAGAAAATATTTACAAAACATTAGAAAACTCACAAGTTGCAAAGCGGTTTTGGTATTTTCAACTCGGAAAAGTGCATCTGCTTTGCGTTTGGTTCCCTAAGAGGCAAACAGCTTCAGGCATATTTCGGCGGACCACTTTTGGGGTTGCCGATCGTTTCAGGTTCTGATGCTGTCTCAATTCTCGCTATTTTTCTGACAATCTTCTAATGTTCTATTACTGCCTCCCATGATTTTTTTTTTCCTGGTGTTATGGAAGGCTTTGATTGTGAGAACATACCATTTTCGTTTTAAGATACGGATTTGAATTTGGTTTTCTTGTTTATATTAATTTTGTTCCGATTTCTTTGTGCAAGGCATTGAGTAGCGGCGACAAGACGCGAGGAAAATGGGGGATTTCTGGAGCGTCTTTTGTGGTGAATCTGGTTGTTCAGAACCAGGGGAAAGCCCTTGTAGTTATGGTTTCGAGTTCTTGAGAGATCCTTCGTCTTGCATCAATCATTCGTTGATTATTTGCCTCGATGTGTTGCTGCTGATTATGCTTATAATCACTGCAATAAAGAGGTCATCCCCGCAGACAGTTCACCACCATGCCCAGGTACAGAGGTTTTCGAAGTTGCAGGTGGCTTCTGCAATAGTGAATGGTTGTCTTGGGTTAGTTCATTTGTTCTTGGGCGTTTGGGTCTTAGAGGAGAAATTGAGGAAAACTCACACTGCCTTTCCTATCCATTTGTGGTTTCTAGAGTTTTCGCAGGGGTTTACATGGTTGTTGGTGGGTTTAACAACAAGTCTTAGGTTGAAAGACCTTTCAAAACCATGGTTGAAGCTATTGTCTATTCTTTTCTTCTTAGTTTCTGGTGTTTTCTGTGTCATTTCCATTTTGTATGCCAGTAGTGGCCGAGAAGTGTCACTTAAGGTAGCTTTAGATATTGTATCTTTTCCAGGAGCAATATTGTTGCTCGTGTGCTCTTATAAGCGGTCTACGTATGCAGACACTGATGGAAAAATTGATGAAAGTCTTTATGCTCCTTTAAACGGCCACCATTCCACTGATGCTGGCAAAACTAGTTCTTTCAACGATGTAACTCCATTTGCCACAGCTGGATTCTTCAGCAAAATGACGTTTTGGTGGTTGAATCCATTGATGAAAAGGGGTAAGGAGAAAACACTCGAGGATGAAGACGTCCCAAAGTTGCGGGAGGAAGATCAAGCCCAAAGTTGCTATTTGATGTTTTTGGATCAATTGAACCGACAGAAACAAAGGGAACCATCGTCGCAGCCATCACTTTTGTGGACAATCTTGTTGTGCCATTGGAAAGATATATTGTTCTCTGGGTTTTATGCATTGCTGAAGGTGCTCACTATCTCTGCTGGTCCAGTGCTTCTGAATTCTTTCATACTGGTTGCTGAGGGTAAAGGGAGTTACCAATATGAAGGGTATGTATTGGCCATATTACTTTTCCTGACCAAGATCATAGAGTCAGTATCACAAAGGCAGTGGTATTTCCTAAGCAGGCTCACTGGTTTAAAAGTTAGATCATTTCTTACTGCAGCGATTTATAAAAAGCAATTGAGGATATCTAATGCTTCGAAGTTGGTGCATTCAAGTGGGGAGATTATGAATTATGTGACGGTAGATGCTTATAGAATTGGAGAATTCCCGTTTTGGTTTCACCAGATTTGGACTACAAGTCTTCAACTGTGCATTGCATTAATAGTTCTTTTCCGTGCTGTGGGGCTTGCAACATTTGCTGCCTTGGCAGTAATAGTCCTCACTGTGCTTTGCAATACTCCACTTGCAAAGTTACAGCATAAGTATCAGACCAAACTTATGGTGGCACAGGATGAAAGATTGAAGGCTAGTTCTGAGGCTTTAGTGAATATGAAAGTACTGAAACTATATGCGTGGGAAACCCATTTCAAGAGGGCAATAGAATGTTTGAGGAAAGTGGAGTTGAAATGTTTGTCTGCATTACAGTTGAGAAAGGCATACATCACCTTTCTCTTTTGGTCTTCACCTGTTATGGTATCTGCTGCTTCATTTGGGGCATGCTACTTCCTCAAAATCCCGTTACATGCAAATAATGTTTTCACCTTTGTGGCCAGTTTACGCCTTGTTCAGGATCCAATCAGGACCATGGCTGATGTTATTGGGATGCTTATTCAAGCAAAAGTAGCATATACTCGGATTGTGAAATTCCTTGAGGCACCAGAGCTACTGAATGCAAACGTCAAAAAGAGGAACTTAGGTGACAGGCTCAAGGGCTCCATCCTAATCAACTCAGCTGACTTTTCTTGGGAGGGTAATGCTTCAAAGCCCACTCTAAGAAACATAAATCTAGTGGTTAAACCAGGGCAAAAGGTGGCTATTTGTGGAGAAGTTGGTTCTGGAAAATCAACCCTATTAGCTGCAATTCTTGGTGAAGTTCCTAATACTCGTGGAACTGTAAGTTCTCACTCCTAAACCTTGTGATGAATTTCTTGGCTATAATCGTAGATGACAATTTTGCTTATATGGAAGTTACATGATATCATTTACCTTAATATCTAATTTATTTGTTTGCAATTTGTCTTGCCCCTTTTGTAGCTTTTGATTCTCTTTTCTGCTTTGCAGATAGAAGTTCACGGAAAGTTTGCTTATGTTTCTCAAACAGCATGGATACAGACAGGCACAGTAAGGGAGAATATTTTGTTTGGTTCAACTATGGATTCTCAGAGGTATCAAGAAACACTTGAAAGATCATCCTTAGTGAAGGATCTAGAGTTATTTCCCCATGGCGATTTCACTGAAATAGGGGAGAGAGGAGTAAACTTGAGTGGAGGTCAGAAGCAGCGAATTCAGCTTGCTCGTGCTCTTTATCAGAATGCTGATATATATGTCTTGGATGATCCATTCAGTGCTGTTGATGCGCACACTGCCACAAATTTGTTTAATGTAATCACAACTTCCCTTTTTTATATAATGCATTTGTGTCATCTTTGATATTTATCACTCAAGTTTGGCTTTTAATTTGGCAGGAATATGTCATGGATGCACTTCAGGGAAAGACAGTCTTACTTGTGACTCATCAAGTTGACTTCCTTCCAGCATTTGATTCTATTTTGGTAACTTATTTTAATTCAATGAATTATTTATGAAATTGTCATTAGTGAATATAATGACTTCTATTAGTTCTGAGATTTTTGTTCCCATACTCTGCAAGACACTTGCATACTTCTATTAATCTTCATTAGCTGTTTCATCTACCTGAACAGTTCCACAAATAAAGGATTCCTTTTCGATGACACTAGTGGTCTATTTTGCTCTCTATACATTGCTTAAATCGCTTTGTTGTAAAAACTTAGCTTTACGCAAGATCTTTTGGCTAGGCAAGATCAATTCTATCTTGGTCTTATATCATATTGAGGCCTTTGATGTGGAAAATGGCTTTTTCTCTTCCAGTTTATTGTTTATATCAAACTCCACAAATAACATAAATAAATCTATTGGAGAAAATTCATTTTCAATTTTGCTGTACCTTCTATTTTTCTGGTTCATATATCTTTGATTTTTTTTTTTTTGGGGTGAACTATATATCTTTGATTAGCATTAACCTAAATGCAGCAAATTTGAGGCTGATCAGTAAGCATCTTCCCATTGTTTGCTGCAATATTGTCAAAATAGTGATGGATTGTTTCTTTATTTGCAGCTCATGTCTGATGGAGAAATTAGACAAGCTGCCTCATATGACTATCTACTGGCTTCAAGCCAGGAATTTCAGGATCTTGTCAATGCTCACAAGGAGACTGCTGGTTCTGAAAGGCTTGTGAATGTGACGTCTGCTCAGGCAGGACCAAGTTCTGCTAAGGAGATTATTAAATCATATGTGGAGAAGGAATTTAAGGCTTCAAATGGTGATCAGTTAATTAAACAAGAAGAAAGAGAAACAGGAGACAATGGGCTAAAGCCTTACTTTCAATATCTGAATCAGAGGAGGGGTTATTTATACTTCTCCTTGGCTGCCCTTTCCCACCTTACGTTTGTGATTGGTCAGGTATTACAGAACTCATGGATGGCTGCTAATGTTGACAATCCTCATGTGAGCACGTTGCGATTGATTTCAGTATACTTGTTGATTGGAGTTGGTTCAACAATTTTCTTGCTGTTCAGAGTTCTTGGAGTAGTTGCTATGGGTCTTCAATCATCAACGTCTTTGTTTGCTCAGCTACTAAACTCCCTTTTTCGTGCCCCTATATCTTTTTATGACTCCACGCCATTGGGAAGGATCCTTAGTAGGGTAAGCTTACATCAATTGCAATGAAATGTGATGAAATTAATGGTATTCTGAGCATCTTCATGGTGCAGGTCTCATCTGATCTGAGCATTGTTGATCTTGATGTCCCTTTCACTCTTATGTTCGCTGTTGGAGCCACTACAAATTTATATGCTAATCTTACAGTTCTGGCAGTTGTTACTTGGCAAGTCTTGTTTATCTCTATACCGATGGTTTATGTTGCACTTCTGTTGAAGGTATTTGCAGATTCTTCTTTATGTATGTGTTTTTCAAAATAAAAAGTTGTTGCTGCAAATCAGAATGCTCATATTTGGCAGATGATTAGATGATGTGCATTGAATTATACTTCTGTGTCTTGGGCAAATTCTGGGATTTGAAACTATTTCTGGAAGGAAAGAAAAGTTAAAGTTGACATCAAGAAGCTCAAAATTCACTGTAAGCAAAGTTAACACTTTAAAGTTAAGGTAATATTCATGGAAGTAATTGATTGCCAGGAATGAGTGAATGAAGATCTGTTCACCAAAAAGTTACAATAAAGAAACTTCTCAGTATGTTTTCAGATAGTCAAATCAGTGAAGAAATCAACTAAGAAAACAAATATTTGAAGATGTATGTTGTATTTTATGTGGCTCTTTGTAACATGCTTTCCTGGGGAAATAAAAAGTGGAGTCAATTCTCTGTGGTATATTTTCATTATTTATTTTTGAATAAATAAATAGATGCCTGATGTTAAGATATGACAATCAATACCATGCTGGCCGCAAGGTTCTTTGTTAGGTTAATTTTAACCCAGAAAATCTTGTTTTATGTAGAAATACTACTTTGCCTCTGCGAAACAGTTGATGAGGCTGAACGGCACAACAAAATCCTTTGTAGCCAATCATCTAGCAGAGTCTGTTGCTGGAGCTATGACAATAAGGGCTTTTGAGGAGGAAGAACGTTTCTTTGCCAGGAATCTTGAGTTAATCGATGTCAATGCTTCTCCTTTCTTCCATAATTTTGTGGCAAGTGAGTGGTTGATTCAACGTTTAGAAACAATCAGTGCAGTTGTTCTTGCCTCTGCAGCACTATGCATGGTAGTGCTTCCACCTGGGACTTTTACCTCTGGTGAGACCCTAGTCATTATTGCCTTAATTTTCCTTCTCGGTTCTTATGGATAACGTTCTCATGCAAGGTCTGCTGTTTCAGGATTTATTGGCATGGCTCTCTCTTATGGCCTTTCACTAAATGTATCCCTTGTATTCTCTATTCAAAGAGAGTGCATAATAGCAAACTATATAATATCAGTAGAGAGGCTGAAACAATACATGCATATACCAAGTGAGGCTCCGGAAGTAATAGAAGGAAATCGCCCTCCTTTAAATTGGCCTGCAGTAGGTAAAGTAGAAATAGATAATTTGCAGGTGAGCTTCTCAACTGTTTTGAAAAGCACAGTTCAGCAAAATGGGAATTGATCTAAAGACTCACAATGTGCTTGTTTACACTGAAACAGATAAGATATAGGCCCGATACACCTCTTGTACTTCGAGGGATCACATGTACAATTGAAGGAGGGCACAAGATTGGCATTGTTGGCAGGACAGGCAGTGGAAAGTCTACCCTTATAGGTGCTTTGTTCCGCCTTGTGGAGCCGGCAGGTGGAAACATTATTGTTGATGGCATAGATATTTGTGCCATTGGACTCCATGATTTGAGGTCACGTTTTGGTATCATACCACAAGATCCCACTCTTTTTAATGGCACAGTTAGATATAACATGGACCCCTTGTCTCAACACTCTGACAAAGAGATATGGGAGGTAAGAACAATACCTTTTATCTGTTTCCTTCGTGCGGTTGAAGCAACACCCAGAGGGTGTCTTGTTTGTTTATTAATGCCTCTCATGTGAACACTCTAAAATCTTTGGAATAGTTGTATTACAATCTCAAATTTTCTAATATGTCTCCTTTCATTTTTGGCCAAAAAAACCATATCTCCTTTCATAATGAAGTACTAACCACTGTACTTTTTAATGCAATTGGAAATAAGGGAATAAAAAGCAGAAATGATACAACTACTTGCTGCTTGGCTGTCGAGGCCATGGTCAAAAACTATGTCAAATAATTTAACATTATGTCTAACAATTATTTGTTCCTCCTAAAGGTTCTTGGAAAGTGTCAGTTGCGAGAGGCTGTTCAAGAGAAAGAAGGCGGTTTGGACTCCTCAGGTGAAATGTTCAACTAACACAGCAATGCAGAATGAACTTTTTTCCTCTTGTGATTAATAAAAATTGACAAACTGTTCTGCAGTTGTGGGAGATGGGTCAAACTGGAGCATGGGGCAACGACAGCTTTTCTGTTTGGGGCGTGCTCTTTTGAGGAGAAGTCGGATTTTGGTGCTCGATGAAGCAACTGCATCTATTGATAATGCTACTGATTTGATTCTGCAGAAAACTATAAGGAGTGAATTTGCTGATTGTACTGTGATGACAGTAGCACACAGGATACCAACTGTGATGGATTGCACCAAGGTTATCTCCATTAGTGATGGTAAGCAGCATTAGCTACCATTAATCTTCGTGTTCATTGAATACCCATTTCGCGTGCCAATATGTTAATGGGTCTGATTCTATTCACACCAATGGGGAGTTAAGAGGTTCTAGTTGAGTTTAGTAAAATTTAACCCATACGTATTGGTTAAAATACCGTTGTGTTCAAGATAATGAGCTTATAAATAATGTCTTTAACATTGAGCCAAACCTGATGTCTGCCTTTTACAGCATGATTCTTTTGTTATCTCTTCTAAGAGAAGAAAATTTTCTGGATTGTAATTTGCAGGAAAATTGGTGGAGTATGATGAGCCAACAAACTTGATGAAGAGAGAAGACTCTCTGTTTGGACAGCTTGTGAAGGAATATTGGTCTCATCTTCCGTCTGCAGAATCACATTAATCTATTTAACTACGGGCCATGTCTGATGCAAGCTCGTTTTCCTATTTTTGGTTGGCAGGAATAAGATAACTGAGAAAGTGTAATTTGTAGGTTGTAAATCGTATTATATTGGGGCAGACTGAGACCTCAGTAACGTGTGAGCAATAATAACCTATGCATTCATGGTTCTCGAGATATCAACTTTTGAAAGCTGCGAAATTATTAGCAAGACTGATTAATCAAGAGCCTAGTAAAATAAGAATAACTTGCTGTTTCTATGGAGACTGCGAGTCTATTTGGATTCATGCTCCAAACTACTGATAAGCAGCTTATTGACACATAAGCATGTTTAGACAATTTATGATATCTTTGGATAAGTTTTTGGCCCATTTGACTTATGGGCCAAAAGCTCACTTCAATCGCACGATTTCAAAAATTGTTTCATCTTAATAGGGGTTGGTAGGACTGTCTTTTTGCTTTCAATGATGAGGTCTGATTTTTACACACCCTCATCTGCTTCTCACCTATATTTCTCCTTCTCTTCCTTTTACACTGTGTTTGGCTTGACAGAGCAGAAGGGAGGAGAAGGGAAGGAAGGGATTTTATTTGGGTGGGGTGGGAGTTAGAGAGGGGAGGGTATGGAAGGGGAAGGAAGGTGAGGCATTTTAATACAAGGGAGGAAAGAGGAAGAATTTTATTGATACTTTATTTGGTTTAGAAGGAAAGAGGAGGGGAGCTAATCGAAAATTGACTATTTAAACCTTATAAAATTAAAAGAATTTTCTCACTTTTCTATTCCATCAAGATATAAATATATATAATACAATTCATCAACTTTAATAAAAATTATTAAAGTTGCATAAAAATTAAAATAAGAAATTATACACCAATTTTGTTTAAAATAACAATAATTATAACATTTTTAATTTATCCAACCTTCTTTTAAAAACAAATTAAAAAAATAGATTGAACTTGTCTACCAATATAAATTGCTACTAAAGTAAATGGAACATTTTCAAAAATAAAAAGATCCATGCGAAAAAAGATGCATGGGTGAATATATCATCTACATTAAAAAAAATTCAAATAACGATAACATGACATAAGACTACTAATAAGAACATGAAGAAGATCCAAACACCATATCCATGATTACTGCTTTATGTGCTGGAGGTGGACATTGAACAACTGATCTCAACTTATCAACATCACTCATGAGATAGTTATAAATCTGGGACTCTTTGGCAGCATCAAATCCACATTCACTTATCAAATGTCAAATTTCTTCACCGGACAGGGGTGGAATCTTGTGGATAAAACTTTCTTTTTTTTATAACATTTTACTCATGTAATAAATTATTTCTTTGGTTCAAAACGTCATGAATTAAATCATGACCTCGAGCTAACGCTTTATTACCTTTTCTAATTGCTGTTGCCATGTCAGATATCACACTCTTCATTGTGTTGAGATCAGTCTCCTTATCTTTAGCATGCTCTGTCCTTCTCCTTTTACCACAATCACCAGTTACTCCTTGTGGCTGCTCAAAAGGTAAGAGATTTTCTTTACTGGTATCACTATCACTTAAAATCTCAACACCATCTAATGTATACTCTTTTTGTGAGATAAGTTGATCTAGGTCATTGATAGTTTCATAAGGTGTGATAAGTAGGCTCTAATGAGCTAGATAAAATTTGAAATTGTTTTTTCAATACTCCAAATGCCCTTTCAATTGCATTTCATAATGATGCATGCCTTTGAATAGTTCCTTGTGATTTTGAGGTGAATTTCTTGAATATTCTTTTAAATGATATCGAACCCCTCTATAAAGTGTGATAAGTCCACTTGTTAACATAAAACCTGCATCCACAAGGTAATATTTTCCTATAACGAATGAAAATCAATAGTTAATATGAATGTGCAATAATAACTTGATTAATTGAATTAATTCTAAACATTACTCAAATAGTTATCTTAGGGGATTTTAAGCCTATCTTTTTAAGTCAATACATTATTTAAAATTCTTGAGTCAGATGCTGTGCCTTCCTACCCTGGGAGCACTTAAGTAAACTTTAGATCAAATGAGCATGCTACTAAAACATTTTGTGTTGGGTACTCTTTAATACCACGATATAGAGAGGCATTTGTTGGAGATACTTTAACACTCATATGTGTCCCATCTATTATACCAATACAATGCTTGAAAAAAGAAAAGAATTTACCCTTATTACTCAGGAGGCACTAAAGAACCGTTAGGTTATACCAGAAATTTTTCTTCTAGCTTAATAATAGTGCTTAATACTTTATAAAGATATTGTCTCACTAGACCTTCAAAAAAAGAAAAGAAAGAAGAGCTAACCACATGATTTCTTGCTTTGTGTGCCAAAATATAAAGAGTCTAGCTACTTGTTCTTCTACACTTGCATATTGTGTGGCTCGGAAGCTGCATTCTCTTTCTAACATACTATATAATTTTAAAAAGATTTCAGGACCAATTCTAATAATGTCTTGGCCATTTCTACTACTAAGTATTCGAGTAATCACTTCTTCACGTACTCTTTCTCTTCTGGAACCCATATTATAACATATTTTTTTCTTATTGCACATATGAGTCGTGTAGTACCATACAATAACATAAATGACTTGAACTATAGCTCTTCGACTCAATTCCAAGTATTGAGGAATCAACATAAAGTATTGAATCAGCATTTGGTGAACCAACATATATCTATGCCTTATTAATTCCATCTAGAAAAAGGTAAAAAAAAAAACATACGTCTAATCAAATTATAGATACCTCAATGTTTTTCAAAATCTATTTGTGGTTGAGGGTCTTTCACTGCTAGATTGATGACAATATCACACATATTAGTTAAATTTAGAGAAGAAACAAATTAAAAACTATAACTATGTTAATATAAAGCTATCAACCCAAACTTCTATTCTTCCAAGTGTTAAGTAGGACTTTACAATGATATAGGACTTAAAACTCAAAGCCATCTTACGTCTAATATGTATCCAAAAAAATATTTTGTCAAACTATGTGTAACACTTTAACTTTAAACCGTATATGGAGCCAAAATAAGTCAATTGGAACCACATCACATGGCATTAGGCTCGGGAAAACCTTACTTTGAAAAATTCATTCTTAGGTTACTATTCACTTGATAACCCTAAAAATTTTGCCAATTTTCAAATTCATGACGAATTTTAGAAAAATTGAAATAAGGTGGTTCCAAGCTCTATTTGAAGCTCTTTTATTTCTCTACATGGACAAATAGTCACTAGTCCATTGCTCATTCCATTCGGGCCCCATTTTACTTACAAAAATTACAGTTCATTTGGTCAGTTTTTACTTTTTTTAGCCTTTTTATCATAACTTTTCATATGCAACTTCAAATTAGGTGATCTACTACTCAATTTGAAGCTTAGAATGTAAAATTTAAGTTTACCAAATTTCATGGTCAGATTTTATCATTTACTCAGAAAAGTCGCAGGCTAAAAATTAGGATTTTAAATATAAACCTTTTTTAGTACCTTAACTTAGTAATTTAAATCCTTAGCTTTCATACTCATCCATAACAAACCAACCCAGCAAACATTATAATGCCTCCCAAGGGTTGGGAGCATCATCCATAGAAACATTTAACACAATACTTTCATAAATCCATAACTCTTATAATTACATAATATGTGAAATGCATGGTATTTCATAGCAAATTCTTTCCCTTATCCCTTGATGAGCCAACCCTTATTAATCAATTTCATATAGAGGAGGGGTGAGACTTCAAAGAAATCCCAATAGCAAAGAACAACAATCATAGAATTAAAAATGTAAGGTTAGTTCATGCTATATGCAAGTATTAAACACATGCTTTTGCATGCATTATCATTTCATTAACATGCCATGGAAAGGGAGCACATAATATACCATTCAACAACTCAACTACACATATTTGCCAAGGTATCAATGCAAAGAGTTAAAAACATTTTATTATCCATAACTCAACCACATCATGGTATAACACACATAATAAAAACAACCAATACAATTCAATGCTAAAACTATAGGTCGTTACTACCTCTTTACAAACTTGATTCCTTGATTCCTTGTTCTTGTTCTTCATCCTTTTTTCTGCTTAATACTAAAGCCTGTCAAACAAACAACAGTGGTATTCCAAATCAACTTGAACCATTCCATTAAACACTTTAACCTAAAACCCTAATTCTTAACCTTTATTTTAGGGTTTTAGCATCATCTTCTTTAACTTAACTCCCATATGCTTTTCCTACATAATTTTTCATGTAGATTTAACCTTGGTCGAGAGGTATGGTTTGGAATTCAAAAATTCTATTTTCAATTTTAATGCTTCCAAACACATGTTCTTCACATATCCCTACACAATTTTTCCTCATAAACTCATTGGAAGCATCAAATTAACAAAAATTAAACCCTAGCTCCAAGAACCAGGTTTGGCCCAATTGAATCTCTAAGTTTCACAAGTTGGAATTCTTTCAAAAACAAGGTTTAAACACTATCTTCCAACCATTTTCTACCCTCTAATCCATATATAAGCTTTAAATCATCCATTTCTCATCATGAACCAAATTGGATAGCACCAAACCCTAGGATTTCTAACCTTTAACTTTTATCAAAACCATATTCAAAACCATCAACTCATAGGGCATCATAAACTTTAAGAAAATCCAAGCTCTTACCTTGGTTTAGCACTTGATTTAACCTAGGTTGGGCTTGATCTTCTCTTCTTCCTCCTTCTTCCTCCTTTAACCGAACTTCCTCTCTTTCTCTTGCTCTTGAATTGGCCGAAATTTTGGCCATGAAGGAGGGGATGAGGTATTTATAATGTAAGCCAAATTTACCTTATGGTAATTCCTTTAAATTACCATTTACCTTTACCATACACACTTGTCTTCTATCAAGGTTAATCCCCTCTTGATTTTTGCCACATAAACCCTCTTAGGTGTCCTTATCATTCGATGCCCAAACCACTCATGGGATACCTCATGTGCCACCTACTATATATGTGAAAAAATAATAATTTTTTATCAAATAATTCCATTCTTTCAAGTTTAATTCTTAACAAAATATATTATTCTATTTATGTCCTCCTCTTTCATTTTTGTCCTATTTTATGCAGAAACATGGAGAAAAATTGTCACATCCCGTAAAATTTAATCCTAATAATCGATATGAAAAATT